GCAACCCCTGCAAGTCTTCTATAAGAAGAGAGCGCCGCAGCAAATCCAGAGAGCCTTCTGTGGGGCCCCACAGCCGCAGGCAGCACCAGCCGCACTCTCTTGCTGCAGGCGCATGCAGGCAGCAGCAAGAGCTGCTGCTGCTGCTGCTGCTGCTGCTCCAGCTGCTGCTGCCGCCGCCGGTCTTGCTCGCGCTGCTGCTCACGCAGCAGGCACTCTTCGCCGCCCGCTGCTGCTGCTGCTGCTGCTGCTGTGGGGGGTTGGCTGCTGCTGCTGCTCGGCGCTGCTGCAACAGGCGGAGGCAAAAGAGACCCAAAGGATACACGGGAACACCAGCAGCAAACTGCAGCTGCTGCTGCGCTCGCTGTGCTGCTGCATCGGGGCGCAGCAGCAGCAAGAGTTCCTCCTGCGAGTGCTGGTGGGGGCTTCTCTCCACTTGCTGCTGCCCCTGCAGCTGCTGCAAAGTCCCCTTTTGCTGCTGCTGCTGCTGCTGCTGCTGCATCCCCTGCGCCTCTTGCGGCTGCTGCTGCTCCTGCTGCTCCTGTTGCTGTTGCTCTGGCCGAAGTTGCTCCTGCTGCTTTTTTTGCTGCGGCTGCAAGTGGGGCTGCAGCTGCAGCAGCTGCTGCTGCGCTTGCTGCGTTGGCAGCTGCTGCGGCTGCAGCTGCTGCTCGTGGCATTGTGATCGCAATTGTTTCTGCAGCTGCAGCTGTTGCTGCTTCTGCCGCAGTGGTTGCTGTTGTAGCTGCAGCTGCTGCGGTAGCTGTTGCCTTAGCTGCTGCTGCTGCAGTGGTTTCTGCTGCTGCTGCTGCATGAGCACGTGGGAGAGACTTCGTGTAGCCGAATGCACAGGTGGCTGTCGCCCATGTTGCTGCTGCTGCTGTTGCTGCTGCTGCTGCTGTGGTTGGTGCTGTTGCTGCAAGAGGAACCCCTGTTGCCTTCCGCTGCAGGCCATCTGTGAGCGGCCCGCATTGTGTGCAGCGTACGGCTCGTTGCTGCTGCTGCTGCTGTTGCAGCTGCTGCTGCTGCTGTTGCTTGCTGTCCCGAGCTGGCGCCGTTGCTGCTGGTGCAAAAGCCGCTGCAGAGCCTGCTGCTGCTTCCTCAGCAGCAGCTGCTGCTGCTGGAGCTGCAGCAGCTCATTGGAGCCCCCCGCCCGCTGCCCTGAAGACCCTGCCTCGTGGGGGGGGCCCCCAGGGGGCCCGTCCATTCTAAAGAGCTGGGGGCCCCCCGCTGCAGATGCGCATCACTAGGGCAGCACAGGGGGCCCCTGCTGCTGCTGGGGGCCCCCGGTGTCTGGCCCTGCGGGGGCCCCTGCTGTGGGCCCCCCTAGGGGCCCCTGTTGATTGCCAGGGGGCCCCTCTGAGGGCCCCCAAATCGGACCCCAGTGAGGGCAGTGGGGAAGAAGTAGGGGCCCCTCTTGGCTGCTAAGTGGCTGGCTTTGAGCTGTTTCATGAGGGAGTCATGGGCCCTAAACCCTAAACCCTAAACCCTAAACCCTCTCCGCGGCTTCGAGTGGCTGCTGCCGACGGGAGGGTGTGCGAGCGCTGCTCCGGGAGCCTTCTTCTCCTCTTCTCCTCAAAATAACAAATAGATATATTTAATTTATTTTTTTAATTAAAAAAAGAGAAAAGGAAAGGCTTTTAAATAGCGAGAGCTGGCGCTGCACACAATCGAGCCCGCCGCAGTCCTCGCGGGCCCCTCACTTGGCTCGCGGACCCCAGGGGGCCCCCCGTTCTCTCGGGTTTCTTTATTAGTTGCATTTATTAATTAAATACAATTTAGAATATTTAAAAAAAGTAAATATATTTAGGCTGACAAGGTTTTCAGGGGCCTTTCCCCACAGGACACTGCAGCGGCAGCAACGTCTGCTGCTTGTGCTGCTGCTGCTGCTGCTGCTCGCGGCTTTCGTTTTGTCGCGCCGGGCTCCTTGCTGCAGCACTCCGCCTTGCCGTTTCTGCTGCTGTTGCTGCTGCAGCAAAGGGGGGCTGCTACGCGGCCGGCGAGCAGCAGCAGCAGCGGAGCTAGCACCGAAGGTTGCTGCAGCACGCAACAGCAACCACTGGAGAGTCGCAGCAAGCAGCAGCAGCAGCAGCCAAAGCAGCAGCAGCAGCAGCAGCCAAAGCAGCAGCAGCAGCAGCCCAGTGTGTGGGCGGCTGCACAGAGAGCTGCTCTTGTTGAACATTTAATTTGATTCTTGTGCTGCTGCTGCCAATGCACACGGGCCTCTGTCTCATCAGGAAGCAGGCAGCAGCAGGGGCCCCTTTGCTGCTGCAGCAGGGGGCCCCCCAAGTGCTGCACAAGAGGCCCCTCTTCCGTTTGCTGCCGCAGTTTGGCTCAAATAGCTGCTTAGGAGATGTCCAGAGATTTTTCGGGGGAGGTGCAGCAGCTGCAGAAGCAAGCAAGGCAGCAGCAGCAGGAGCAGCAGCAGCAGCTGCTGCTGCTGC